AAACCCGCAAGAGCCTGTTGGGATTACACTTGCTCGCTCCATTTGTTAGCTACTAACATGCTCGCTCGCTTCAACCCCCTTAAAACTTTTTCCGGTGCAACCCAAGAAATGGGCGTCCGTACTTGTGGGAATGTGTGTCATGGGGACAAGTGGCAGCGGTGCAGGCAGCGGTGCAGGCAGGGCATCAGCGACTCGTCGAACTCCGTGACCAGAGCGAAGGCCCGACGTCGTGAAAACGCTGCGGAAGGGCGACTTACCTAACGAAGGCTCGAGTCGGTACCTTTTGAGGTAAGAGGAGCCGCAACCGTCGAGCCGTGGGAGAAGGGGAGTGTTCTGGGAGAAGGGGAGTGTTCTGGGAGAAGGGGAGTGTTCTGGGAGAAGGGGACTGTTCTGTCCCTGGAGGAATATGGGGTTAGAAAATGGAAGCAATAATGAGGAGTGAGTGTGCGAAGCGTGTGAGTCGAGAGTTGGCCGTGGTGATTGCCGCGTTTTTTGACAAGCAGGGCAAACTGGCGACCACTGATGGGTGCACTTTTCATCGGGTGACAGTTGAGATTCCAGCTGGCCTGACTGAAACAAGTCGGGTTACTGAAGCAAGTCGGGTTACTGAAGCACAGAGTGGTGGTGGAGTGCTCCCGAGTAGGGAGGTGGAGTTGATTGTGGCATTGGAGAAGCAACCAGCGGCGTGGTTTGGTTGGTGCTCTCGAATGACGAGGGTTAGTCCTGACGAGATTGCCCTCTTTTCGCCCGACTTCGACTGGTTCAGAGACCCGAACAAGGTGCAACTCGCGGCCAGATCGGAGTTGAACGCGGGGGTTGATGATGTGGTGTTGGACCGGTTCGTGGAGTTCGCATGTCGTAACATACTTTGTCACCAGCCCGGCAATGTGAGCAAAGAGGTGCAAGTCCAGCTTGCAGCCGAAGTGGCAGGCGAGTTTGGTATCCAGCTGAAGGAGATAGTGACCACAGACGACACGGAACGCGGTACTAGAAATGGCACGGAAGCTGCGACAGGAAGTGGCACGGAAGCTGCGATAGGAAGTGGTACGGAAGCTGCGATAGGAAGTGGGACGGAAGCTGGAATGAACAGGCTGAGTGCCGTTGAGGAGAAGGTCCCGAACCACCAAGTCTCGGGGTTGAAGGTGTCCTCGTCTGTTGAAGTGCCTGAACAGGAGTACTGGATCAACGAGCGTCGTTGGGCGGCAACACACAAAAATGAAGCCAGTATTCGTCGGTGGTCGACCTGGACAAAAGGTGGCTCCATGAGTGGTTTCCTTCAGGGCTGCGGAAGAGCTTTGACCTGCCGACGTCCAGGTCACCTTCAGCTCGAAGAACAAGTCGACGAACCGCTTGAGGAAGTGACAAGCCGGCTGCATACTGGTCGCGGGCTGCATACTGGCCGCGAGCTGCATACTGGCCGCGAACCGATCTATCGAGAGTTCGTTTGAACGGGGTTATCTAAGCAGGCTTTATCACTTATTTAATTCAAGGTTAAATAGATGATGAGGGAGGGAGGGAGGAGTTCGGTTTTGATACCTTGTCTTTTTGTATTAGACGATATACGTTAAGCGACAACTGTTTTTGGGTTCCTGCACAGGCACCTCAATCAAACACACACACAGGACGGTGGACTTAACATGGGAACGTGTTCGAAGCCATGAGAATGACATGCACACACGTGTGCATTATAGTGTACGATTTATCAAGTGGTCGTTTACGTGTCCTGCAGGGAGGTGGGGCAGGAGAGGAAGGTGAGGTAGAGGGTAAAGACGCAGTCTGAGCGTGTCCCTGAGCGTGAAGGGGGTCGAACTATAAGGTGCAGGCCGCAGCTTGTTGAGAAGGAAGGACCGCGAGGATTGCGCTGTCAGCGGCAACTGAGGTGCGCTGTCACCGGCAACTGAGGTGCGCTGTCACCGGCAACTGAGGAGATAGCTGCGGTATCTGTCGCCTAGTCGTCACGGAGCCCTCCCGAGGTTTAGATTGAACCCGGAGGAAGACGACGGTTGGTTCGTTCGGTTGTACAGGATAAAGTGGGAGCACACCGTCAACCCGCCCGCTAATCCAGTACGCACGGGGTCCTCGTCTTCCCGCCAGTCCCGATCCCACCCGAAGTTTGCACCGCAACGGCCTTCTTATCCGGATCCGGAGTTAGAATTTTGCACCGCACTCTTTTGCACACAGCGTCGACTTTCACAGGGTCGACACGTGAAGTTGCTAGGGAATGGGGTACGTTCACTACATATGGACTTTGACACAGCGTGCGCAGGGACGAGCTTGCGTTGGGCAGGGATCGAAAAATTTCCAAGACGAAAATGAAGGGGACCGCGGGCGGCGCCACGAACTCATGTGGCTTGGGGTTGTTATTGAGCGTGATGACTGACAGGGGAGAGCGGCCATCCACTGCCGACTGTCAGCTGAAGATGGTCGAGCTACGTAGCCTAGTGGGTGACAACACTATAAAGTTTGCGGTCCTAATCCCTCGGGGAGACATCTTGACCTTTTGTGGCGTTGACCGCGTGCGCAAGAAGTATGACTGGATCGCCAGATGCTCACGAATTCGATGGCATGCTATTTACAACGACGTGGATCTGGCTCTAGTAGTTCGTGACTTCAAAGAGTTTCTGACTCGCAAGGATCCAAAAAATGAATTCTCCAACATGTCTGACCAGATTTGGTTAGATTGTTTTCACTGGACGAAGGCGGCATTGCTGTGGGAATTGGAGAAAGTGCGTGAGTCCAATCCGGAAGTATTAAGCAAATCTTTACAGGTCGTCGACTGCAGAAATTTGACAAAACATGAGCTCGAGTGCTTCCCTGACTGGCGTGCTTTTGCCTAAATAATCTGTTGTATCTTTGTCTCGAAGGTGTCTCGAAGACGCCTCTCACCATGCGTGTTTTGGGTACAGTTTTTGGGGACAGGAAAACAAACCGTGGCGGCCGGGGCCAGGTACGGACGGGCTGCGGGACAGGGAACACCGCTCAGACTAACTGCCCCACCCAACCAACCTAACTAAGTCCAAGGGACGAAAACTTTGCAGTTGTTAAATCGACAGTGTGCGGCACTTTGAGTCGACAGTGTGCGGCACTTTGAGTCGACAAGCGAACTTCTTCGGGTTGTAGCCTCCTCCATCTGCTCTGAAATTTTGGTTCGTATTTCCGCCGATCCACTTTTGCTCGGAGAGAGGCGTTTTCGTTCCGCTACCAGAGCTCGTCTGACTAGTGCTGGGCAGGCTTGCCTTGCCAGCATCGATAGTTCCTCGGCCGTTAAGTTCCGTCGCTAACGTTTGGAGCGCCTCGAATAGAATCTGAACCCAGAAGGATTGATACTAAATTACCTGGTCTCTCCTGTCCCCAGTCGCTCCTGTGTCCAGGAGTTGGCGTCTGAACGTGAAGATCTTCGTCGTCCTAATAGCCAGTGGTCGGTAGTACTTGTGAACCTCCTGCCAGTCCCACTGTCTTGTGGTCCAGCTTCTCGCACTTGCGCTGAAGCTATCTAGACAGGTGCGCCACTTCGATCTTTCCGCGCTGTTCTGTTTCGCGCTCTGTTCGAACTCCCGTGGTGGACACACGTTCTTCTCCAGGGAGCTGTACATCGACAGCGGCTGTGGGCGTTGGCGGTTTCTCCCCTTCTCTCGTCTGCAGCATTGTTGATTTGCGAGGCCGGCTCTGCGACCGCGTGATGGAAGCATCATACATTAGCGAGCGTCCCCAAAATCCCCCAACGTATCCAGCCAGCGGCCGGAACTGGTAGTAGATGCCGTCCCGGAGTTTCGTTAGACCTGTGCGTCTTGGCATCGTGTCGTACTGCTGCAGCTCCGAGTGACATGTTCACGTTCCCCCCAAAAAAAGACATCGCCCAAGCAAGAAACAAGCCGGATTGGATCGATAATGCCATCCATCGCTGTACCGAACTGAGGTGTGCACCACGCTCCAGCGAGTCCAGGGAGGGATCTAAGGAGGATTCAGTGGCGGGTGTCGCTAAACGATCACTATCTTGACTCTGTGGACCAAGTTTCAGATTAACTTCGTTTTTGGTGTCGCCGCCTTTTATTCCTTGATTCGGTTTCGTCCCTGCTGTTGAAGAATGCCGGGGGGG